GAATACCGCTTAAACTCTGCTGGACGAAAACTCGCTCGGCAACAAAGCTTTAAATTGCATCTCAAGTATTATGGTCACCTCTACGAACACTTATCCCACAGAAAGTATCAAAAGTCTCCTTCTGGAAGCAACGTGATGATTGTGACAGACTACTGACTCGCCCACTGGCCTCACCCCTGCCGCTGTGGATTAAACGCCTCTCATCTCCCACAACAGGGACTAGAACCTTGGACAAACCAAGAACGCTCTAACCAGCAACCCGAAGGGAATCACAGGAGCTTCTAGAACACTGGTTCTTAGCCTTTGTTACTCAGATGTGTTTGGACTGCAACTCCCAGAAGCCTTCACCATCAGCTGTGCTGGCTGTGGTTTCTGGGAGTTGCAGTTCAAAAACACCTAAGTAACAAAGGTTAAGAACCACTGTTCTAGAACCCCATCGAGTTACCACGCCTCCCAGTCCCAGCTGCACTGCCTGCCCACCCGCCCTGCTCGTACATAAAAGCAAGGCGGACGTGATCGCCTTCCCACCACCACCACCATGGGAGGCAACAGGGAACCCTCCATCTCATGACTCCGCCCCCCCGTGCCTCAGAGCGGAAGTGACCATTTTTTGGTCGGACCGGTTGGAAGCCGGGGCTAGTTCCGCTTCCGGTACTTTCCCCCGTCCGGCGGCTTAGGAGGTCTCAGGAACCAGGAGCTTTTTGGTGCCGGTAGCAGGATGAGTTACGAGCACCGTCGGGACCGGAACCGCGGCGGAGGACCCCGGGCCTCTCAGGCGTCCTCGTCGTCTTCTTCTGGCCGTGCTGGCGGCGGGAGAGGCGGAGGCGGAGGCGGAGGTCGGGACCGGCCGCCGCCTCACCTGAAGGGCCGCGAGATTGGCCTGTGGTACGCGCGGAGACAGGGCGAAAAGAGCAAAGAGGCCGAGAGGCAGCAGGTGAGAATGGGAGAAAGGCGAGCGAAGGAGGGAGGGCTGCCAAGCACAGCCTTCAGCCAATCCTGGTTCTTTGCTGACGGTATCTTTAGGATAATTCATGTCTAGCCTCTTTACCTGTTACCTTTTAGCGTAGGTACATTGGCTGACGGGGTGGCGTTGAGGGTTAAACCACAGAAGCCTCTGTGCTACGAAGTCAGAAGACCAGTAGTTGTAGGATCCAATCCACGCGACGAGTGAGCTCCTTTTTGTTGTTGTTAAGTCGTGTCCAGCTCTTCGTGACCCCATGGACCAGAGCATGCCAGGCCCTCCTGTCTTCCACTGCCTCCCAGAGTTGGGTCAAAGTCATGTTGGTAGCTTCACTGTCCAGCCATCTCGTCCTCTGTTGTTCCCTTTGCTTCTTGCCTTCACACTTTCCCAGCATCAGGGGCTTTTCCAGGGAGTCTTCTTTTTCTCATCAGATGGAGCCTCACCCTCAGGATCTGTCCTTCCAGTGAGCACTTTATTTTCCTTTAGAATCAATACATTTGATCTCCTTGCAGTCCAGGGGACTCTCAAGAGTCTCGTCCAGCACCACAATTCAAAAGCATCAATTCTTCAGCGGCCAGCCTTCTTTAGGGTCCAGCTCTCACTTCCATACATCACTGCAGGAGAAAAACATAGCTTTGACATGCGAACCTTTGACGGCAAGGTGATGTCTCTGCTTTTTAAGATGCTATCTAGGTTTGTCATCACTTTCTTCCCAAGAAGCAGGTGTTTAAAATTTTGTGGCTTCTGTTACTGCCTCCATATCTTCCCCTTCTATTTGCCAGGAGGTGATGGGACCAGTGACCACGATCTTAGTTTTTTTATGTTGAGCTTCAGACCATTTTTTGCACTCTCCTTTTCACCCTCATTGAGTTCCTGTTACTGGTCAATTTCGGGTCTTGTTTTTCTGGCAAGGAATTAGGCAGACACAACAGCTGAACCAAAGGCCCAATTTTATTTGAATAGCAGCAAACACAAGGTCAGTTGGGCTTCTCTTAAAAGCAGAGAAGACCCCGAAAATACTGAGTACATATGTTTTATAATGATACAAACAAAGAGCAATAAAACTACTGCACTACAGTTCTATTGGGCACTGGAACCCCAACTTTGGATCCAGTCCCTCATTAGGCAAATGATGCCAACTACGCTAATCTATTGATAATTTTTGAATATGCATATTGTGCCTCCATCTTTTTTTCTCACCTGCCTTGTCTTTTTCTGTTTCCTTATATTCGTTAAGAGCTGCCTCTAAAACTTTGTATTATTTTTGCAGGTTCGGTGTCAGTGGGGGGGTGCTACATAATCCATAGAACCATATGGGTTCTTGGTTTTCTTCAGAGGGATGAACTTTAAATCTCCCTTGTATCTTTCTGGCTGGGCTGTTCCTGAAGCAAAACAGCCTATGTATCTCAGATGAACTTCCTCCCCCCTCTTTGTTGCCTCCTCTGCCCAATCAGCCAGGTAAACCAAACACTCCAAAGCAAAGCTTCCTTCAGAGGGCCACGGAGGTGACAAAGAAAGAACCACTGGCCAAATTTCTGTACATAATTTATGTGTGTCTTCATCAGCCCTGATCGCCTGTCCACAAGCTCTATCCAGTTTTCCAGAATACAGCTGAGGGGCATCACCCTTACCAGATGTGCCTTGCTCGTGCACGTTCCTATGCCTCGCAAGTCTACTGCCTGGCCAGGTCTTCCTCCAAGGGAGCCTGGGGACACATGCAACCCACGCATGTATCACAATCAGACCCCCGTTCACTACGCACTGGTTTTCATCCCTTGGCGTCATAGGCCACAGCCTCAGCACAAGGGATGGGACATCTTCACAGCAAAGGAGAGGTCACCAGCCAGACCCCTGGGGCCCACCAGGGGCACTGTCTTTCAGATCACCCCCTTTCTGTGATCACTGTGTTTCAGGTCACTGACCTAGGAGACCAGGATGACTGCGGCGGCCTGATCCCTCCATTGAGGATTTCAATAGTCATCAGAGATAAGTCGGCCAGTGCACTAGATGTTACCGGCCACACCCGGATTCTAAGCTTCTCTGAGGCCTGTGTTTTGTCTGTTAAGGGATATACTAAAATCTAGTTTGATTCTGCTCTGGTATCACTCCCGTCGCTTGTCCAAGCTCCTGCCAGTCTAGCAGTTTGAAGGCATGCAAATGCAAACAGATAAATAGGTACCACCACAGTGGGAAGGTAACGGCATGTCTAGTTGTGCTGGCCACATGACCACAGAAACTCTATGGACAAACGCTGGCTCTACGTCTTGGAAACGGGGATGAGTGCCATGCCCTAGTGTTGGACAAGACTGGACTAAATATCAAGGGCTCAAGCCCTGTTGTTTAGTGTAACAAGTTGCCCTTGAGTAGGCTCAAATGAATTAATGGGATCTACGGAACAGTTGCTGTAGCAGACCCCTACTGGTTTAGTGGGCCTTATCCTCTACAAGTTCTATCTTAAAGCAATAGGATTTCAGTTATTTTCTCTGAAACTCATAAACAACAGTACTGTATTGTGTGTGAAAGAGAGAAGAGACAGGGTACAGGGATACATTTTCATCTCCGCCCTCTCTGGGTGGGTGGGAAAAGTAAAAGTGCTTCGTTTCTCAGTCATATTACCAAAATAACTGGTGTAGGTGGTGAAGCTGAATGGTAATGACAGGGACAAGATGACTTAAGTGAGCTTAATTGCTGTGCAGAGATTTGAGTCATATTCTGTGCCTCAAGACACTGCTGCAGCGCTGTCCACATTCCATCAGTAATTTTATTGAGCATGTGGAGGGAAATTGTGTTTTCTGGGCTCCTTTTTGATCTCTGTGTATTCAGGAGAGTATTTTAATCCTTGTGCTGCCATTGCTGAAGCAGTTAACACAAAAATATAGTTAGGTGTTGTATATGCAGTGTGCAGTGATTCATATGTAAATAGTTTCTTTTCCCTCATAGAGAGCTGTGGTGCAAATGGATGAGCGCAGAGAAGAACAAATTGTACAGTTGCTGAACACTGTCCAGAATAAAAATGAAAAAGAACAAGATGCCACGTCTTGGTGGTCTGATGAAGAAGGGTAAGATGACTGTTATGTCCTTTTCATCTTTGGTAATTTTATGCAGGTTTGCTTTTAAAGCTATCATTCTGATGTGGGTGTGTATTCTGTGCAGTTTTGTTTTTGTTTTCATGCTCTAAAAACCTGTGCATGCAGTATAATTTTCTTATCTGCTTGGTATTGTAATAGAGCAGTGTATCACAGAGCTGTTGTTGGAAATGTAAATATTTAACTGAAATGGTTAGTGAAATCTATTGTGACAACATTTTTATTATTTTGATATTTGGAACTTGGAACAACAGTTAATTCAGTTTGGGACAATTAAGATATACTCTTACAAAATTGTATCATAAAGCTAATTGAAACTGTAATTGAACTAATTACTGTAGTGCTGTGTGCAGTTAGCCAACTGCACAGCTGAATTTCGGCATCTATTTCTAAGTGAAGAGCTATTTGCTGAATTGCATTATTCTTGTGTTTCTGTAGTACTGTTACAGTACAAATTCAAATATCTTTTCCAGCATTCATATAGTAATGAATGAGTATGGAGCTTTTGGACCTTCAGATGTTTTAGGTAGTTCCTTGTTATTGCCATTCTGGCTTGATTTTCTCAATACTGAAGTCCAGGAGAACTGGAAGGCCACTGGATCATCATCCATGCTATATCGGTTGCATTGTCTTTAAACATTTGGGATTACTAGGTCAGCAGTCTATTGAGATTGAAGACCTGAGTGTTCAGGAGTCATAGTGCTATGCCCATTACCAGTGTGAGAATTAACAGAATGAAACTTATTTGGGACATGGGCAAAAGGAAAACAGTAAATGCTGGAACTGTATTGGTACTCACATAAGGTTTACAGAACTTGCTGTCACTAATTGAGGAGGTATCAAGATGCATCCCAGTTGCACAGTTCCACGCATGCTCAGGTGCCCAACAGAGACATGCCTCAGCACCTCATCAGTTACTGTGACAAGTTACACAAACCTTATGCAAACACCAGTAAGATTACTGATGTGATTAGGAGAAAGGAACGCTGAGCCAAACAAAACAGTCAATTGTTGTTTTCTCTTTGATTATTTAGGATTCACTGACATTATTCAGTTAGTTATACATCTGTGCCAGATTATAGATCTAAACTGTAAATAATAAAAATACTGAATCTGGGAAGGAGTTGTATACCATATTATGTGGGAAAAAGATTCAGTGAGTCTTAGAGTAGACAAATAGAATTTCAGTTAATTTGCTTTTTTCCCAATTGGAAGGTGTATGAATCAAGGTTTACAGAACTTGCTGTCACTAATTGAGGAGGTATCAAGATGCATCCCAGTTGCGCAGTTCCATGCATGCTCAGGTGCACAACAGAGACATGCCTCAGCACCTCATCAGTTACTGTGACAAGTTACACAAACCTTATGCAAACATCAGTAAGATTACTGATGTGATTAGGAGAAAGGAACGCTGAGCCAAACAAAATAGTCAATTGTTGTTTTCTCTTTGATTATTTAGGATTCACTGACCTTATTCAGTTAGTTATACATCTGTGTAGATTATAGATCTAAATTGTAAATAATAAAAATACTGAATCTGGGGAGGAGTTGTATACCATATTATGCGGGGAAAAGATTCAGCGAGTCTTAGAGTAGACAAATAGAATTTCAGTTAATTTGCTCTTTTCCCAATTGGAAGGTGTATGAATCATCACATCTTTCTTTAGGTACACAAAGGAGGTTTCCGCCAAACCAAAGCCTGTTATAGAGAAACAAGTTGTGGAAAAGGCTCCTGAAAGAACTAGAACAACCTTGGAAAAAACATTTCTAAACCAAGATACAGAATATCTTTTACAAGAGAATAATCCAGATGTTGATTTAGATCAGCAACTAAAAGAAGAATTGAAAAAGAAGAGGAATAATTCCAGATATATTGAGATGCAGGTACTGAGAGCTTCTGAGGTGGAGGACACAGTTTTTCAAAACATTTTAATAATCAGATTTATTTGTATTACGTTTTTTGAAATTATTCTGATGTTTTAATAAAGAATTGCTTCATACACCGTGTTCCCTGAAAATATGACAGGGTCTTATATTAATTTTTGCTCCAAAATATGCATTAGGGCTTATTTTCAGGGGATGTTCTATTTTTTCATGTACAACACTCTACATTTATTCAAATACAGTCATGTCATCTTCTGGTTGCTGCACAATGGTGGAGGGTGAGGTTTCGCTTAACTGGGGCTTATTTTTGGGTTAGGGCTTTTATTACGAGCATCCTAAAAAATCATACTAGGGCTTATTTTTGAGTTAGGTCTTATTTTCAGGGAAACAGGGTGTCAGCTACCTATGAGGCTGGAATTGCCTGGTGCTATTCTATGTTCTCCTGTGTCCCTTTTATTTTGATGGAATAATAATAATAAAAATGATGTGGTGTCCTGATCGTGTTACTTATCAGAATGTATCACTACTTTTATAGTAGTGACATATGTGCAGTGAAAGAGTCCTTTTTACAGACTTAGTAAAATATGATGCTAAAAGGTAGCCCTTCCAGTAAACTGTACATTATAATGTTGTACTCTTGAACAAAATTAGCATAAATTATTCTTATTTCACCTAATCTGATTTTTGTTTTTTGTTTTATAGAGATTTCGTGAAAAACTGCCTTCTTATGGAATGAGAAAGGTAAAAAGCTGTTTTGAAATTATATAATATAGGATTGAGTGTTCAAAGAAGAACCATTAGCAAAGTCATTCTGCACAGCTAGCTGCAGTCTGGTAAATTTATGTTCATAAATAACAACTCAGAAACAAATTAGGTGGCTGTTTTAATGCTCATGAGCATGGTCATTGTTGTGTTGACCTTGACCTGTGGGGTTGCATGGTTGGAGAGAGCCTTTGGTAGTGTTACTGCCACTTTTGTGTCCAGCTAAACTTGTGCCAATGAGACTATAGCTAGCTCAACTCCCCCTTTCCTTTTTGTCTCTTATAAAAATATTCCCATCATTTGCTTCCATTGAGAGGGAAAATACCCACAATGTGGAATGATTGTCTTCTTTTGTCCAGGGTGTGTTTGCAGAATAGGAAGGCTCTGGATCTTGTTTCTGTTGGATGCAATACTGAAATGTTCCATCCTTCCCATGCTGTTGGAACACTGCATTGCTGACAGAAGAGGTTTCCACCAGCTCTGGTGGTGTACCGCCTCTTGTGCTTGCAGACTTCTCTCCATCTCACAATGGTCTTTGACCCCGGATAGCTATCCAGTTGTCCTTTAAGTAGTGCTACATTTTCTGTCCTTTCTTCCATCAATATTAAGTCCTGACTAGCTGGTGAGCAGAGGCAGAATGTGAGTCTGTTCGTTTTCATTGCTGAACAGTTTGGGCAAAGTGGTAGAATATAACAGCACTCTGGAGTTTATTTCGATTAGTTTTTGACTGTAGTTCAGATGTTCATTTTAGAGAAGAACAGGCATGTAGAAGCATATCTGTGCACATCAAACTACAGTACTCATTGGGCGCATTACTTTTTTTTTCAAACCAGGAGCTTGTTAACCTCATAAACAGTAGTCAAGTAACTGTTATAAGTGGTGAGACTGGTTGTGGAAAGACTACTCAAGTTACCCAGTTCATATTGGATGACTATATTGAGAGAGGGAAAGGCTCTTCTTGCAGAATTATATGTACTCAGCCTAGAAGAATCAGTGCTATTTCAGTAAGTATAATTTGAATCCAATTGCATTCAAGTAATAACCAGATTTGCAAGTATGTTGGTTTTCATGAGATATAATTTCTTTAATGTTAAGGTAGCGGAGAGAGTTGCAGCAGAAAGAGCTGAAGCATGTGGTAATGGAAAGAGCACAGGATATCAAATTCGTCTTGAAAGGTACATGATGTGGGGTAATTTTTGTGCATCTTAAGCAATGCTGTAGAGAAATGTCAGATTATGTAGAACTTTGGGTACAGTTTTTAATTAGAATAGCGATCTTTAAATTGAATATTGTTTGGTCTGATATCCTTTGTATGCCACTGCTGGTTTTAATTTGTTGGGGGGGGGAGTAGACAAAGTTGCTTAACAGAATCTCCTCAGACCTTTTAAATAAGGCGTAATTGTTTTACAGTGTTAATTGACTCCATTATAACTTGCAGGGACATAATTTCCAAGACCTGCTACAGGTGTTGATTTTTGTACATGAAACTCAGTGATGTGGCTAGGCCATTCAGTTTTGTGCTTGTGTTTTGCACAAGGTCCTGCTACCTTGCTTAACTGCAGTAGCAACTTTTGGTCATATGGCATTGGGGATGAAGGAGTTAATTATCCTTTGCAATTGTATCATTACAACTGCTAATTGTTCCTGTTTGTTCTTGTTCATGTGTGTGGAAACATGTCAGTTGAACCTGGAAATATCAGAATAGCTCATATTGGTGTGATATGGACACACTGGATTGTGTAGGGGAAATAGCTTTTTTCATTCAAGAAAACAATTCTGATGAGTTGCAAAGAACGCTATTGTCTCATTTAATGTATGCCAAAAGGAAGTAGTTTGGTTAGTGTTCCAGCTTCTTAGTACTGGACTTGGTAAGAAAACAGGAGAGGAAAGGAGAAGTATTGAATCTTATGAAGTAAAAAGTGAAGACTATGCTGTGGAAAATGGTGCAGCAGGGCATAGAGTGGGACGTGTGTGCACAGTTGATAGATCCAGAGGAATGTCAAGAGACAAAAGAAATGAAGTCCGAGTGGAACTATCCACTTTGCTCCAGAGTTAAAAGATATGAAAGATCTCACTTTTTGGTCGTGTTTTTTGGAATTGCACATGTGGGCACAGTGTAACGTTATAGACTCAGAGTGGGGCAATCACCTGAAAGTCTAGAGGCCTTTTGTATGGATCGTGCATAAATAGCCAAAAAGGGTAGATTTGTCGGTTAACGATATGGAATTGGGCTTAGTCATTATAAGAGAGTTGGGAGGAAATTGTGGTTGCAAAAACAGAGTTGAGAACGGACAACCTAAAAACAAGATCCCTCCTTGGATGTAATTAATCTAAGGAAAATGACAAACATGGAAATCTGTCTGGCAAGATGGACAAGTAGAAAAGGAGACATGTTGACTAATTAAGAAGTACTTGGAACTGTTGTTCAGTTGGCATTCAGGTTGTGAATCTTGCTAAGCAGAATTGAAAACACTGGGGTTTAGCTTGGTTATGAAATCGAAAACCATTGAGCTACAATCTTGCAGCTTTCCCATTATGATACAGAGGTACTCCACAGAAAAACCGGACAACCAAGATATTCAACTCGGGGAATATGATTGTACATGTAAAGCAGAAGTCCTCCCCTTCATCCCTTAAGACAAGCAATTGTGCATCCTGTGTAACTTGGCTACTTGCTATAGTGGATGCATATTCAATTCTGTAACAACTGCTTCATGAAGGGGTGGCTCTATCTGCATAAAGAAGGTAATGGTGGTTGTGGGTATATCGCATGACAGTGTCTACACTGCAACAGTGGGCAGTGAGATAGTGAAAACAAGAATTAAAAATCTGAGCCTGGAAACATGAGCTTTTGTTCAGGAGGGGAGAGAAGAATAGTGCTAAGCCTGAAACCAAATGAACAATTGTTAGATAAGATAATCCAAGGGCTTCCTACCGCATCCTGGAGTCTGGTTGTGTGGGATTCTCAGGTCACACAGAATCAAGACTGGTGTCATTTTTAGGGCTTCACACAAAGAATACAAATGGAGTAAAAATTCAGGCTGCTTTTATCCCATGATATAAAAGTTTGTTTTCTAGGATATGTATAAGGTTTTTTTGTATCTAAGAATAACTGACTGATCTAAAGTAAGCTGATTGAGTATTAAGCCATATTTCTGAAATTCATTGAGGAAGTCCTTAACAACCAAAATAATTCCAAAAGTTGCTGGTCAGTCTTCAGAAGAGGATGCTGTAGGAAGCTCATTCTTCCTGGGCCAGCAGAATTTTACAGGATGCAAACTTGAATCTGGCCCATTGACTATAGTGGAGCTTACTTCCAAATTAATGTGTATATAGAATTACAGCCTTTATCTCAGTTTTGCACGACCTTTGTTCAAATCTTAATAGGCAATTGGTGGTGGCGTTGAAATTATAGCACTTAATAGTATGTGTCTTCCTTTAGGTTTCTTATTTTTTTTTCAAATGCAACAAAAAGGGAACTGAAGTATTCTTAATGGATCTCTTTTTCAGCCGGTTGCCAAGGCGACAAGGTTCAATTTTGTACTGCACAACAGGAATTGTTCTACAGTGGCTTCAGTCAGACAAGTATGTATCTTTTTTATAAAAAAATATGCTAAGCAATGGATTTCTGCAAGGATTTACTCAGTGAATTTTAACAAATCGTTAATGTTTGTTTTTCTTGTGGCCATTCCCAGTAATTTTCCATTAATTATTAATGATTGCTTTGTTATAAGCATTGAGTTTATCAGCACTGCATTTTTTGTTAATGCAGGGAGTTGTCCAGTGTTAGTCATGTGATCCTTGATGAAATCCATGAGAGAAATCTTCAATCAGATGTTTTAATGACAGTAATTAAAGATCTCCTACACATACGATTAGACCTGAAAGTAATATTGATGAGTGCTACACTGAATGCTGAGAAGTTTTCAGAGTACTTTGGTATGTCAAATTGCCTACAGCTTAATATGTGAAAAATAATATTTTTGTTCAGATGTTGTGGGCTTTGCAGTACAGTTGTATATTTGTAAGATAGGGTATAGGTGAATTTCAGCCGAGACATTCAAAATGTGTGATAACATTGCAGACACTTGAGATTTTTGTACTAACTTAGAATTTCTCCATAAAATAAAGTTTCTATAACACCTTCTCTTCTGTGTCTCTGTGTTATTTGGAGACAGTTGTGGTTTGGAAGCATGCTGAGCTGGGTGTTTTGAGCTCTGATCACCTTGAAACTTCCTTGTATGAATAAACACCTAATTTGGGAAATATGTGTGATGGTTATCATTTGCACGGTTTTGGCAACAATATTCAAACCATTAGAGCCATACTTCCCAGACAGAAATGTCAACACCTTACCAATGACCCCATATGTAACTGAAGCATGATATACTCAGATATCAACAGGAGGCCATTATCACTGTGATGTGGTCCTTAATTGATAAATTGACGCATGTATGTGTTTCATTGATGCATGTATGTCTTTCTGCAAACTGTAGTGTCACAAACGATAGTTCTTTTATCTGTGTCCATTTTTCATGCAGTTAAATCTGTGTGAATATCTATTTTAGACCTTTTGATCTTTCCAGTCAGAACAAAAACTACCTTTCTTACTGGTTCGATAAAGCATTTTAGTAACCTGTTAAAACGCAAGTGTTCTGACTCTCTTCTCTCTGTTCTCCATTACAGACAATTGTCCTATGATACATATCCCTGGGTTCACCTATCCTGTTGTGGAATACCTTTTAGAAGATGTAATTGAGCAATTACGGTTAGTCTAAAGACAATCTCATTCGTTGGTTGTTTTGGGTTCTTTGGCTCTTTGGCCGTGTTCTGAACAATTCTCATTCCTTTCTGCATTATGGTGTTAAATGTTTCATTTGAACTTTAAATAATTCTTGCCTTCTGTTTGTGCAACAACAAAGATTGAAAGACTTAAAATTAATTCTTAACATATTCTGTAATTATGCTGTTTAATTTTGAAGCTACATTCCAGAAAATACTGATCGCAGACCACATTGGAAAAAGAAGTTTATGCAGGGGCATGTAAGCAGGCCAGAAAAGGAAGAAAAAGAAGAAATTTATCACGAGCAATGGCCAGATTATTTAAGGCAGCTTAGAGGACGGTAAGATTTTATTCATATTTATACAGTTTACCTATTTGCCTGACTTTTAAGGAGGAAATCTTAATATTTATGAGGGAATAAGCCATAATGAACATACTGGAATTTACTTCTGAGATTGCACTTCATAAATACCAACACTATTCTATATTCTGTTTACTATTCTATAGCCATAACTTGTTCATGATAGGTTAACTTTTTTTATGAAATGGTGTTGAGTTATGTAAAGAAAGGGTGAGCAACTTCAGTGGGACTGGGGAACCAATTCATGCTACAGGCACCCTATCACAAGTTACACCTGGCCTAGAAATTGCCAAAAATACATGAATAAGTAAAATAAAGCTAAAAGGTACCCATATGGTACCTTCTGTTTTTGCTTTGCCACTCCCCAGCTTGCTTAAAGCCTGTTTAAAGATAATTCTGGAGCATAAAAGTCAAATTGGGTTTTGTTATCCACCAACTCCCAGTGCTTGGAGTCTGCCTTGAGGGACCTTTGTTTCTGAAAGCAACAGAAGGCATCCACTGTGATTCTTAGCAGTTAGTGTATTGTGCTGTTAGTCTGATTTCAACAAGCACCAATTTCATCTTTGCTATGCCTATATTTTTAACAAGTTTATTTTTTCTACGATGTATAAGTATGCTAAATTTACTGTTGTGTATTGGCTTTGTTATAATTTCCTAGGTATTCAGAAAGTACAATTGATGCATTGGAAGTGATGGACGATGATAAAATTGACCTTAATTTGATCGCTGCATTGATTAAATATATTGCCCTTGAGGAAGAGGTGAGTTTCATTCAGACTCATAGACTTCACTTTTAAACTGATTTCCCCCCTTCTAATCTTATTAGGTGCAGTTCACCTAAAATTAATTGCTTTTAAATCTGGTTATATTCAGTTGGGGAGGCTTACATTGCAGTCCTATACATGTCAGAAGACACTATGGAATTAATGAGGCTTACTGCTGTGTGAGTTTAGGATTGCAGCCTTAAGTATTTGCGTAACTCGTTTAAATTAGTAGGACTTATAAATGCTTAACTTTGACTTGGATTATTGTAATTAAAAGCTCAAAAATATTTAGGTGTCAGCTGTGTACAGTCTTGATGGAAGAAAAAGGATTTTGTAGTTGCTTTGCCCTGAGAATTTTTTCCAGCCTTGTCGAGCATTATATGAAATTAGTAGGATTATTATTAGTAAATCCGATTCCAGGTGGATGCTAAACTTTGTGCAACACTTTCTTTTCATAAATTTGGTTTTTTTTGTTTTGTTTTCCTGTTCATTATCATATTTTTATTCTATTGGGTTCAGTTTTACTAAACGATTGCTGAGCAGGCAGATTCAGATGTCCATTGTTCTGTGATTTTGGAGTATGTAAAGAAATACTAATCTTAAGTCAGGGCCGCTTCATAGCCATACCAGAGGATGATAAAATACAAACATTCCTGTTAACCTTGCAAATCTATAACTATTTGCTTGACCAAACGGGTGTTTTGTGGTTCAAGCCCCGCCACCTCTGGCAGGCACCCATTGGAAAGCAGCCTCCTGACTTCCCAGCCTTGCCTTCTCCAGGCACCACTTCTGAGTGGATGCCTGCCAGACAGGGTGGGGCACCGAACAGCGGAACACCTGTTCGGCTGTCTGCTGAGTCATCATGAACCACTGAACCGGCTGTTCAAGTCCATTTCTAGATATGTATTCTGATTATAGAATGCCTTTCCGTATACTTTTTAAAAAGTGAACATTTTTGTGTCTGCACAAGCACAGTAAACCATTTGTAACTTTTTATAATTGTGAAATTATTACAACAGTTTATTCTAAAACTTTTACTGTGATTCAGCTGGAAGTTATGGAATGACAGACCACCACTAGGTAAAACAAATAGTTTCCTTAGACAGTTTGCAAGCAGGATCCTAGCTACTTCATGAAGCCATGTTTAAACAAACCAGCTTACATTCAGGATGTAGCCATATGTATACATACTTGTGGGTTCAAATATGTGTCCTTTTTTAAAAACTGATTTCTTTTTATTTGTATGAATGCAGGATGGTGCAATACTGGTGTTTCTTCCTGGATGGGATAACATTAGCACTCTGCATGACCTTCTGATATCTCAAGTTATGTTTAAATCGGGTAAATATCACCACTAAAAGCTATTTTTAAAAATCTTAATAGTCCTGTCTTCTGATTATAGAGCAGGAATGGGTAAAGTGCACTCTGTTGACTGTTTATTGCTCCCCACAAATATTTTGCCTCTTCCCAGGGCCATCCAGAATTCCCCTCCCAAAAAAAGGAGAAAAAATTGAGAGGTTGAAAGAAGTTTGTTTTTCCATCCTTCAAGACCTGTGTTTTTGGAATCTGTGGTTGCTGAGGTCTCCCATCTTGGTTTTCCTTAGGCTTCTTCCCCCCCCGCCCCAATTTTTGGTGATTTCTGAACATGGTCAGGTCCATGGTAGTTGTTAGGGGTAAATATTTGGTTCCTGTTCTCATCAAAGTTACTGAAAGCTAGGACTCTCAGTGGGTACCTATCTCCCATTTGCCATTGCTCTGCATCTTTGTACATAGAGATAACAGGTCTGATCAGTCCTGCTGTGATATTCCAACTAAAATTATTCCTTGAACTTTGTTTTCTCCTCTTAGCATTTAATGGTGTAATTAAAATTTTTGGATAGTCACTTAAAATCTGTAGAATTGTTTTTAGTAATTTCTTATTGTTTCTTTTATCATGCTAACTTTAACTATTGTCCCTCTGCAACTTTGTGTTGACAAGGCCAAAGCCTTACTTTTGCGTGCTTTCAAACCTTGGACATTCCATTAAATAGAGGATTATTGGAGGTGGTGTCAGTCTGGACAAGGAAACTAAAAAATACATATCCTAGCATGCTGGGGTACACTTTTTGGGGGAAACATTAACATGATTAAATCAAGATTTTCTGAACAGTGTTTTAAATCAAATCCACCCTGATGCAACTATGCATTTTTATACTTTAGCATTCTCTACCTTGTTTCAATTCTACTTCCTAACTGACTTTTTCGTGAAGTCCCATAGTGCCTCCTTTAATTTGCAGATAGATTCCTCATTATCCCGTTGCATTCGTTGATGCCAACTGTTAACCAGACTCAGGTAAGTTGGAATTTAAGATTATTTCATATTTTTCTACATTAGAGAATGCATTCTGTGCGTAGTATTCTAAGTACTCAGTATTTGAACTAAATTAAAATGAGGGCTTAAGATTAGTTTTCACAGAACTACTATTTATGCTCCTGAAATTCAGTATTTACAGATCAATTTGAACAGATCTGCAAGGAGGAAAATACTTTCCTTGCTGTCGCAAGACTAAATAAGGACAATACTTGCCTTGGAATCTAGACATGTAGTGAAATGGGGAAGAGATCATGGCTCCTGTGACCTCTTCTTCACAGGTCATTCAAAATACTGCAGATAAGAACACAATGCTTGAACTATGAGACTTTCATTTTTTTGAACATAGAATTTCTCTAACCCTGAAATCAACCTAATTTTCAAAATATTAAATATAATGGATTGGATCCAGATTTAGGCATATACAGAGTGGACCCTTTTCAGTGTCCTTCAAATTAGCCATATGCTTAAGTCTCACTGAATTGAATGTGTCTTCTCTGAGTCTAAAGCCAAACCCATAACCATTTATTCTGAATAATTTTGTGTGTTCTTTACTGGTGTAACTAATATGTCAGTTCAAATGTTTCCGTTATCTGCTAATGCAGAGATGGGCAATGTGGCCTTCTAGATGTTTGACTCTCCTTGACCTTTTTTATTACTATTCTGGCTGGGAAAGATGTTTGCTACTTCTCCTCCTTTGCATCAGTTGCTGTTGGTGTAAATTTAGAGAGGTGTGTGTTGATGTAAAATTTTAAAGAGGGGGTGTGCGAACATGCGTTGTAGAGAATGTATATTGGGCTTAAAAAAGCAGGAGAAGGATTTATAGCAAGGGTCTCCAACCCCCTGTGGCTATCACAGGACCGAGCCATGGAGACAGATCTCCTGCCCCCCCATGTGCTCTCCTCCACGCACGCATGTATGTCTCTCATACACATGCCAATGTATGCATGCCTCGCCCACGGATGCACAGACACACCCACGCATGGAACAGGGTGTCCGTGTCCTTGCACATGCACACATGGGCATCCTACCCTTGTACACACAGACACCACCACCCCGCCTGCCTGCTGAACCGATCTGTGGATTGAAAAAGGTTGTGGACCACTGTTTTGTAGGACTCCTCCTCTCTCTAATTTTGTTCTATACACTTGTTTCCCCATAGGTGTTTAAAAAGACCCCTCCAGGAGTCCGTAAAATTGTAATTGCTACCAACATTGCTGAGACTAGGTAAATATTTGTTTCAAGGAACACTTGAGATTAATTTTCCAGCAAAAATTAGAGTACTCTGATTTTAAAAAGATTAAAATAAAGGTGTTATACATGATAGGCCAGCTTGGTAGGCAGCTAGTTGCTGTGCAGTGCCTGAAAATTTGTACAGCTAGAGTAAATTATAATTCAGATTTATAGCTTTAGGATGCAAGTCTTAAGTGACCAAAATGTGTATACTTCAAATTCTGTTACATATTATTTCTGGAAAAGCATGCTTCGTGTTAAATGTCTCCAGTACTGCAAAATGCCATACTTTGTAGCTCAACCAAAACTGCTTTGTGCAAGTTAACTATCACAGCTTTTGCTTCTAGTATTACAGAAGGAGTGAGCATCAGGCAGCCCATGGATTGCATGTGCCGCCTAATGTTTTTTAATAGCAACAAGAAAATAGTGGCAGTTTCTTAGAATTTTACTTGCTTTGCAGCAGCTGTTCATGCATAATTGTAATCTATTCTAAATGATTTAAGAAGTAAACATCTTATGCCACTTCTCTTTTTACGCAAAAAGCGGAGTCATAATTGCATCAGGAAATCTTAAATTGGAGGAATTACTTCCTGGAATATGACTTCATGTCCTGTTAATTGGTGACTGTGATTTCCTATTACATGTCTTGATGGTTAGGGACTGTTCAAGCATCAGAAAACCATGAACCTGTGACTTGTAACAGGAAATGGCAAACAGCCTCCAATTAATGTGGAGGAAAGCCAGGAGGTAAATACATTGATGGAAGATTTCTTCATACAGTTAAGATACAGAGTTGCAATAAACAGTGTTATTTGGCCCAACAACTCAAAATCAATTAAAATAAACATAAAATAGCTGCTGTAAAACTGGTAAGGTGACAGGGAAATTGATCCCAGCTTTTGGGAGAGTGTAGCTTTTGAATTGCTGGCCAAAAGAAAAACTGCTCTCTCTCCTTGTCAAGATCTCCCACCCCATACTACAGTGTGTGTCCTCTAATACAGTGATCCCCAACCTTGGGCCTCCAGATGTTTTTGGACTACAACTCCCAGAAACCTTCAGCAACACTACTGGTCAGGATTTCTGGGAGCTGAAGTCCAAGAACATCTGGAGGCCCAAGGTTGAGGACCACTGCTCTAATAAACCCAGATCTCTGATCTCATTAGGTGTGTTCAGTTTAGGTAGGTTTACCTTTTTGATTTTATTAAAGTTTCCTACTTCTTCAGCGTGTACTTCTTACGTGGAGAATGGCAAAACTGTAACAAATAGTTGCTTCTCCAGAATGTATAACCACCTAATAATAGTGGGGAAAAACAAATTTGACTTTGGGAGATGGAAATAGACTGCTTTCTCAATCAAACAGTAATGTACTCTGAAATATAACCGGTTCCCTTTACTTTTCAATTCTGCAGCATCACTATAGATGATGTGGTCTATGTTATAGATGGAGGTAAAATAAAGGAAACTCATTTCGATACCCAGAATAACATTAGCACAATGGCTGCAGAGTGGGTTAGCAAAGCAAATGCCAAGCAAAGGAAAGGTCGAGCAGGAAGGTAAGAGTGGCTATCAGAATAAAATTGATATTTGCTTAGATGTCATAAGAATGAATGTTTTCTTACTTGCTTTCAGTATTTAACCCACCAACATGGTGACTTCCTTGATTCAAATGTCTTTCTATTGTGACTTTATTTCTTGGCACAGATTTGTCATATCTATATTTCATTGTGCTCTTTGATACCTTTAAATGGGTCAAAAACAATCCATTAAATTCAGTGCAGTTTAAATACGAGCAGTTCTGTTGTTGTGTATTTTCCATATGTATTTTCTATTGCCCTCCAGCTTCTGACAAAGTAGGCTTAATCCCACAAATGAAAAACATTGGTGGTGGTTTTTTTCCAACTCTGAAAACCTAAACAGCCATCATGGTTATTGGCCATGCTGAACTGTAGGATTTGGGATTTGTATTTCAAAAATAGTTCCCATGTCTGCTTCACTCTCCAAAAGATCATACCAGAACATATTTGTTACTCTTAAGCTGCCACAATACATAGACCTTTTTCTTACTGTGTGGCTTGTTTTCTAAAATATAAATCCAGAAATTATGGATAAATGTAGGTTATACAGTGGGGTCTTGACTTACGAACTTAATCCATATTGGAAGGCAGTTCTCAAGTCGAAAAGTTCTTAAGTCGAATCTGCATTTCCCATAGGAATGCATTGAAAACCATTTAATCCGTATCTGCTCTTTTCGTCCATAGAAACTAATGGGAAGCTGCTGTTCAGCCTTCTGCCACTAGAGGGGGACATTTTTTTCTTTTTTCCTTTTAACCTAAGATGACTTAGCTTTAAAAAAAAAGGAAAAAAAGAGTTCGTAACTCGAATCTAAGTTCGTAAGTCGAGTCCATATATTCCTATGAGAGCGGTTCATAAGTCGAAACGTTCGTATGTCGAGCCATTCGTAAGTCGAGACCCCACTGTAATAGCTTGTGCATTCTAAAAATCACAATGCATAGAGAAAAGAAAGTGTCTTAAGTATTTTTGTAGAGGAAAACAATTAGGTTCCTAGTCAAATAAAATCTTAAGAGATTACGGCTATATTTTGTAACCCTAACACAAAAGTAATTATTGGGGGGAAAGTTCAATATCAGTTTCCTGTGTTGTTTCATTTAAGATATTAATACCTGATAATGCTCATATACCCTGTGGAACTAATTAATATTTCCTGTGTAATTTATTGAGTCTTTTTCTTGGTTAATCAGTCATTTGGAAATGAACTTGATATAAACTTTTGATGTGTTGTGCCTAGTATATAACATGGTTACCTTAACAACCCAGATGATTCACATAGCTATGATAATAATGAACAGAATTGCTTTACTCATCTTTCATTAAGTAGGCTAGCTTTTGAGTCCTGCAGAACTCTTTCTTAAATTGCACCATACAGAGCTTGGAGGTGTAGAAACAAATGAAAGTCCTCAGATAACCTTAGCCAGCTCTTATAATTGAAAGTGAATTGCTAAATTGGAGACTGCAGCTTGAAGTTGCAGCTTGAACTATTGGTTTTCCATTTGGGAATGTAGATTTTCTTGTCTTTAGCAAAGGGCTGCCAAGTTATTCAGCATCTTTCCTCATTACCTTATATGGAAACATAACTTTTGTTTGGCTTGCAGCAGAGGCACCAGAAACATGGCAATCCTAGCCACAAGAACCAGCCTAAATTATTTGGGGAATATTCTGTTTCTCCACCATCCTAGGTTTCCAGCTTGATGAGGCATGC